AAATAACTGATTTTTTGCCTTTGAATGAGTAAATTTTACTAATAAATAGTAATTACTAGTAATTTATTAGTAAAATTTACAAATAAATTGGAATTTCTACTGATTTATTGGTAAAATTTACTAGTTAAAAAAAGACAGTTAATAATTAAAATTAATATAAGCATTTTTACTAATTCAAATTTAGAGTTCGAATTGACTTCAACGTCAAATTCAATTTAATTTCGAACTTGAATTAACTTTGGCGCCAAATTCATTTTGATTACGAATGAAAAATGGCTTAAAAATGAATTTAGCGTCAAAATTAATTCGAAATCTAAATGAATTTGGTACCAAAGACAATTCGAATTCCAAATCATAATAAATTTTACGTCAAAGTCAATTCAAATTCGAAATCAAAATGAAATCAAATTACATAATCGACAACCAGCAATTAGTAAAAAAAAGAACAAATTATCAGTTAATAAGTATAATTAAGAAAAAAGCCCAATTTGTCTAATTGAATTAGTTACCAAAAATTTTAGTTACTTTGACAAAACCTAAAATTGAATTTAACTAATAATTAGTCATTATTAACTATTTGATTAGTAAAAATCAGAGTCAATGACTGATTGCTTATATTATCAAATTAGTTATTTTTAATAATTAAGTTATATTCCTTAATATAATTACACTCTACTTTCCAAATTTTAATTAGTAAAAATGTTTACTCATTTTAATTAGCGACTGACTTTTTGCTTTTGAATTAGAAAATTTTACTAATAAATAAGTAAAAATTACTATTTTTTAGTCAAATTTACTAATTCAAAAGCAAAAAAGTTACTAATAAATTAATAGAACTTACTATTTATTAATAAAACTTACTATTCCAAAATCAAAAAAATCAGTCTCTAATTCAAATTAGTAAACATTTTTGCTAAATTAAATTTATAGTTTGAGAGTTGATCCATTTTGTGTATTTCCATTCCAAACATAACAAACATCACCTAAAATTTTGATTCTAAGTAACTTTTCTTCGGAAAGTGACACAAAAACTAAATACAAAATTTTATATCAAGTTTTAATGAAAACTGTATTGAAAAGAGAAATTCTAAACGAAAAAACAACAAAATTTTAAATTAAGTTTTAATAAATTTAAAAATGTATTGAAAAAAGAAAAAAAAGTAAAAGAAAAAAATTGATTTTACCGCATTAATTTGTAAGTTGTGTCAATAAACGAATTTTACACAAACAAAAATCGAATCAACTTGTATTTAATAAAGCGTAGTAGCAGCAGTTCGCAGTAGAGAATTATAAATCCGTCACTTGTGAAAATAATGACACCCTTGAAAATTAAAAATCATACGTCTCATGTGTATAAGAAAACGAAAAACGAAAACTTTATATATAAACATGTATCTGACAGACGATAATTAAGGCGCACAAGTCATAAGAAAATTTCATCACAAAATTAGAATGAAAGGAGAGTATACATTATAACACCTGAGTTGTAGTAGTATAGTAGCAAGTAGGTTGCCTTGATGAAATATAAAAAAACCAAGATATATGCATATATTGGGGACAGAGCGATAAATAAATTGTCAAGTCTAATTGCTACTTTAGGTTTTAAGATAAGAACACATTGCGCGCATATATGTACATAATAATGATAAAACTTAAAAAAGGAAGACCTTGTCATTGTTTTCTCGCGCAAGTTCAATCTAGTTTCTGTATAAGCATCAACTTTTAAATATACAAACACGAAAGGAAGTAATCAGTTGAGCTCGAGCGCAAAAGTGAAATTCGCTAATTGTCGAGTGGTAATTAGAATGAAAACGCGACTCTAATATAGAAGACTTCTTCCTATTTTTTTTTTTTTTTCATTTCCCGCCCCCGTACGCTCTCTTCCGTATCAAAAATGGACCTGCGGGAGTAGTAAACTCATCAAGTTCTGGACAACGACCTTGAGAAAAAGTTAATACTTTCACACGATTTACAGAATTACTTAAAAGTATATTTTTATACTTTTAATTTTATTCAATATATTTTACATCAAAATTTAGTAATGTATCCAAATTTAGATGATGAAAATTTATTTGAGTCGCAACATGAATATTCAAAGTGTAATTTTAAATATATCGAGAGAGTTTTAACTGCAAGAGCATTTTCCATTTTTTTTTTTTCATAATCAAAAGAGAAAATCGTTTTCCATTTTTTCAATTATTTTAAAACGTTTCATATTTGAAATTATTTTATGTATAACATTTATTTTATTCATTCGAAATTGAAAAATTTACTCTCTAAATCAGAATCGGTAAAAATTCCTTGAATAACTTCTCACGATTTCACTATGAAATTGAAATCAGTTTGAAGTTCTCCTGATTCAGTTTTAAAGAGTGATTATATTGAGGAATGTAATTAAATTTTTTAAATGTGAATTAGTGAAAAATAAATAACTTGCTAAAATAAAGAGTCAGTCAATGATTCTAATTTTTACTAATCAAATAGTTGATAATGACTATAACTATTAGTTAAATTCAATTTAAGGTTTTGTCAAAGTAACTAAAATTTTTGGTAACTAATTCAATTAGTCAAATTTGACTATTTTCGTAGTTATTTATTTACTAATATAATTAGTTCTTTTTTACTAATTGCTGGGGGTCGATTGTGTAATTTTATTTCACTTTGATTTCAAATTCGAATTGACTTTGACGCTAAATTCATTTAGATTTCAAAAAAAATTTTTACGCCAAATTCATTTTCAAGTCAATTTTAATTCGAAATCAAAACAAATTTGGCGCCAAAGTTAATTCAAATTCTAATTTAAATTGAATTTGACGTCAAAGTAAATTTAAAATTTCTAAATCTGAATTAGTAAAAATGCTTATACTAATTTGAATTATAGAATGACTTTTTGCCTTTTAATTAGTAAATTTTACTAATAAAAAAAAAATAAGTAGAAATTACTACTTAATAATAAAATTTACTAATAGAGATTAGTAAACATTTTTATTAGTTCAAAATTAGAGAGAATTCGAAATCAAATTATATAATCGCCCACCCGAAGTAAAAAGTTAAACAAAAAATTTATTAAAAAAATTAATTATTTTTAACTAAACCAAATAATAAATAATAGAGTTAGACTAATTTTTGTTTTGATTGTTTGTCAAATTTTTCATTGAAGAAAATATTTAACTGATTCAAATAAATGATTGTTGTCTATATTAGAAAATAAATATTTGTTTGTATCAAATAGTTTTTATTTATGTCAATTAAATGGTAATTGCTTCAAATACTGAAATTATTGATTAAAATACAATTTATTTAAATTAAATAAAAATTATTTGTTTCAAGTATAAAAATATTTATTTGATAATAGACAAGTAATCAATTAATTAAATAAAAAATTTTTTTTCAGTGTTCCTTTAGGCAGAAAAATTGTAATACATTATTTATATTGAAATGTTTTTTAGATCTAATATGCTTTTTGATTTAAAGTTTATCATAATTATGATATTTAAGGGTATTAGTAATTTTTTTAAATTATCAATTAGAAATAATTGTTAAAAAAATATTGTTGGAACTAATTTAATTTGTGTTTAAAGTATTAGATAGATTTTTGGACGTTAAAATCCGCTTTAGGTGTGGTCGTTAAAGATTTTAAAAATGCGAGTTATACAGAGACAAATTATAAGTCCTGCGTTCGAAACCCGGCGGAGTTAAAATTTTTATTCATATTTGTAAATATCAGTCTTTTTCACTAAAAAAATAATTTACCACCGTATAAACTAAGTGGGTTGAAAATTTTTAAAATGGTTTTTAAATGTAACTTTTACTAAAATAAACTTAAATAAATGAGTACAAACACAGTTTTTCAAAGGATATCAAATTGAGACAAAAAAATGTATCAAAATGTTGCGAAGCATCGTTTTGGTACATTTTTTGTCTCAAGTTGATATCCTTTGAAAAACTGTGAAAGGAAAAAAATTAGAAAATTTCCACGAGTGAAAAAAGTCTCGCAAAAATATTCTAGTTACATTCCTAACTTTAATCTGTGATATATGCATATTAGAGAAAAAATTACACCAATACAATTTTCACTGTATGAAAAAAAATTAGGTTAACTAACAGGTATTTTTAATATTTACCATTTTTACAAGAAAAAAAAAACTGACTCCTGAATTTTAAAATCCAAAGTTAATTCTCAAAAGCAAAAAAATGTTCCTTTTTCTATTTAAATTTTCCGCGTGTGCATGCGCGTTTATGATTAAAAAAGAAGCAAATGAGCAAATTTTTTTTTACCAGTAAAAATTATACAAACAATTAGAAAATTCTGAAAAATTATTTCGTTAATTGTTACTCACACGACTGCCACCACCAGTTACTTTTTATTATTGCAGTAAAACAATGAGGCAGAACAGAAAGCAATAGAAATTTTTGAAAAGAGATTTTTCACCCGCATTAAAAGTCAAATTACTATGTAGTTACATTGATAGGTGGGCGTAAAACAATTACCATATCTCAATATTCATTGGAGAATGCACATATATATCTATATTTCCCGGCACAATGTAAATTTTCAAATGACTTTATTTATTAACAAATGACAAGTTTCGAGGTAATAATTTTCGCACGTTAAAATAATAACAAATGTTACAAAATAGTGTTTTTAATGCAACACTTTTCCAAAGAGATTGGGTAATTGTTTTATTTTTTAACGATTTAAATGGGAAAAGCTTTTGCTTCTTTTTTTTGCTATTGAATTCGAAATATTTTGCAGGAAAAAAAAGAAGTAGAAACTAATTACTTTTAAAAAGAAATCATGGTTCTTGTAATTATTTCTAGAGTTAAAAATTTCTAGACTTAAAATATGGGTGTTTTAAAAATCTTGAAATATTTACGTTTGTCTAAATCGAAATTAAATAAATTAAAATATTCTGTCTAAAATAGAATTAAAAGATTTGGAAAAATATTTTTAAAAATGGAATACTAAGACTAATATTGTATTTTGTTTTTGTTTACAGAGAATTCCGAATATCTCAAGTTGCCCTGTCAAGAGTCCACAACCTCTAAAGGAATTTGTTGGCCGCTGTCAAACAATGCCTTCTCGAGTTAAAAAGTCTTTTTGTGGATGCTTACAGGTGAGTTTTAATTTCTAAAATGTTTTTAATTTCTATTTCAACACCTTGACTAAAAATACTCCTATTTTCCTTCTTTCAACTGTCATGTTTGTTTTGATTTTTTCAATTAAATATTTTCTTTAACACACAATTAAATAGATTAAAATAATATGACTAATTAATTTCTAGAATTAACAAACTTTAAATTAAATTAATATACCTACATTCGTACTAACTGTACGAATAAAATAATCAAATTATTATTAATTAAAATTAAAATTATTATTATTATTGTTATTATTAATTAAATAATAATTATTATAGAAAATATTGTTTTTCAATGATATTAATTTAAAAAATCTAAATTTCAATTAAATTGAAATTAAAACCTTCTTTTTAATTTACCTATTTTAAAAACCAGTTTTATCATTTCTGTCAATGTAAAAAAGACTGAAAAAAACTCGTAATTTAAAAAAAACATTTTTATCGTTTACAGAACTTGTCACTTTATAAATCAGATTCCCCAGACTTATTAAAACTATATCTCAACTCAATATAATTAATTTAAATCGAAACCGTCCACTTTCTTATTTAATGATTCAAAAATAATAATCTACACTGAAACCAGGTGTGTATTTTTAATTTTTGTTTAAATCTTTTAATTAACTCAACTATCAATCGTACACTTTCTCATTCAATGATGTCATAAAATATAATCTCGTATGTTTATCTATTCCAATATATAGATACAATTTAAATAACCTAATTAATCAATATATAAATTAAAAGAAAATAAATTTCAATTTTACATTTTTCTTTCTCAATGATTAAGAACATAAATTTTAGTCAATGTCATAATTTTTCAATCATAAATTTTTAAATAAGTTCATTTAATTATCAACTTGATTTATAATAATTATAATATCTATAATAATAAATATATTGAATTAAAAATAACAAAAATAATATAATAGTAATAATAATAGTAATAATTATTATTATTATTTGTATAACTTTCTGAAATTTATTTTTCTTTCTTAAAAAAATACTATTTTTACTCCATTTAATAATTATTTTTAACAATTTTGAAAATCGTCTCGTTTTACGTCACTTTTAAATCTCGAAAATATCAAATTGCAACAAATTGACGTGAAAGATTTGAATTAAATCACAAATTGATCCAAATTTTTGGTATAGTAATTTCATCCAATTTGGTATCAATTTGCTACTTTCCAGAAAACTGTGATTGCAGATAAAAATTTTATTTGAACTAAATATAATTTATTTGATTTAAATCAAGGTATATTTATCCCAAAAACCTACTAAAAATTTATTTATTTTAAATACAAATTTTTTCGGTACAAATAAAAACTTTGTCAAAAATATAATTTTATTTGTGACAAAAATAAAAGTTTAGTTGGTTCTGAGATAAATATATATCTTCTTTCAGAGTTTAAACTTTAATTCAATAAATTAAAATATCTTAGATACGTAAATTTGATCGAACTTTTCAAAGATCTGATAGTTTAACAAAATAATTAAATAATAATATTTAATAATATATAAACGTCTTTGCAAATGCTTATTACAAAAATAAGAAAAAAAAAAGAAAATAAAACACCCCTTGTGGAATAATTGTTTGAGTAAATAACACAGTTATTATACTTATTTCCAGTGATATGTCACGAATCTCTGAACCGGATGATAATTGACTCGTTGTTCGCGATCCATTTTTTCACGTATTATCTCATCAGACGTGTAATTTCTCTTTCTCGGTCGCAAAAAAGTTTGAAAATTCCACAAACGAATAGTGTATATATCAGTGTTATATATATGCCCGAAATAAAATCAAATAGTCGATACGCGACCCGCATCGACGAGAAAATCACACGACACAGTCTCACGTTTCGGAAAGGTGAACGAAAAAGATTTTTTTTTTTATTTCTTTTGTTTTTTCGGGTCTTTGAACTTATAAAAGTGTCGAAAAACAGTTCACATTACAAGTTCGTTATTCAGAACAAATTATGTTCACACAGAGAAAAATTTTATTTTAACCAAATATAATTCATTTGAGTTCAATAACAGTATCTTTGTCTCGAAGCTTAAATAATTATTTATTTGATTTAAAATATTTAAATAATAGAAGTTTTATCAGGGTTGCTACAAAAAATTTATTTTATTTTTTCCAGACTTTTTCCTGCTTACCAATCAGAACTTTGCCTTTTTTCCTGACCCTAAAGAATATTTTAATTCATTACAAAAATAATTAGATACATTACAATATGTTGGAAATATATATTTATTTTTAAATATTTTTAATTGCATAATTAATAGGAACATGAACAATTTTATTTTTTAAATAACTATTTAACCATTGTTATTATTTTTCCATTAGGAATTAAAATTTTGAAAAATTTCAAACCGTTTTAAATTCAATAATTTATAAGAATTGCTAATTATTAAAAATTATTTTCAAGATTTCAATTTAATTATTTTCTAGAATTTTAAACTAAAATTCTTCAATAATTCAATTATTTTCAATAATTTTTGAGAAAGGTCCTTAAAAATTCAATTATTTATAGTTAAAGAAAAAAAAGTTCACCTAAAATATTTCTGAAATCCAATTGTTTACATTTCTTGATATTTCAATAATTTGAAAATTTTTCAATTAAATACATATTCAAAAATACAGCTAATTTAAAAAACATCAATTTTTAGAATTTCATATCACTTTTGTTCTAATTAGTTAGTTAATCATTTTTACTAATTCAAATTTAGAGAATAAGTTTTGTAAGTTCACTTATTTAGAGAATAAGTTCTAGTAATTTTTAAAAAAAATTACTAGAAATTAATTTATTTTCCACAATTTTGAGTTAATAGGTGAAATTTTTTTCTATTTTAAAAATAATTGAATTTTTTGGGGAAATTTTATTAAAATTATACTGAAAATAATTTAATTTCTGTCAAAGAATTTTAGTATATATATGTATGAAAGTAATTGAATTGTTGCAAATTTTTTCGACGAGTTTAATTAAATTATTGTATTGAAAAGAATTCAATATAGAATTTTATTTAAATTTATTAAAAATAATTTTATTTTTTCTAGAAGTATTATTAAAATTATATTGAAAATAATTGAATCTCATGTGAAGAATTTCATGAAATTTTTGTCAAATAATTGAATATTGATTTGAAGAATTTTATTAAAATTGAATTTTTAAAATTTTTAAATTAATTTCAAATCAGTAAAATTCAATTATTGTTAGAAATAGAAAGAATTTAAAATTTTCTTTCTTTGACTTTTCCCTAAATTCCCTGATTTTCCTGACTTGTGACAACCCTGTTTATTTGACACAAATAAAACGTGTATTTGAGACAAAGAAAATTTATTTGAAACTAATAAAAAGTGTGGTTGGCTCCGAATCAATTATACTTTTTTTCCGGGTGTTTATATGAATTTCATACACCCAGAGAAAAGATATATTTGACTCAAAGCCTGTTAAATTATTTATTTGTTTCAAATAAATTTTATTTGACCCAAAGAAATTTTATTTGGTTCTAATAAATAATTTAGTAGGTTCTGTGACAAATATGCTTTTATATTTGACTCAAATGAATTGTATTTGGTTTGAATAAAACATTTCTCTGGCTGTAATTTTTAGGTGCTTGAAGTTAGCGTCGACGCTCAGCGTCGAAAAGATTTTTTTCACGAAACTGAAAAAAATTTTGAAAAGCTTTTAATTCTCTAGGTGAATAAAACAGCTATAGCTGAAATTAGTAACAGTTTCATCACTAAAAACCTCAAACAGTAGTTTTCGACGATGAGCGTCGACACTAACTTCAGGGATATATTTTTTTGTAGACCTTATGAAAAAGTGATCTTATTTCTGTATTCTATAAAACATTTATTGCTTCTCAATATAATGTGCGTAATTAAAAACGAAATATGAAAAAAACCATCACGAATTTTCTTAGAATTTTCTTAAAAACTTATTTAACAACAGAATAATTACATTTTGTTATAGAGAGAAGGAGATGGAGAATAATAAATTTTAACGATAACGACCATCTGAATTATTATTGTTTTGAAATAATAAAAGATCAATGTTAAAGAAATTAGTTTATACCTTTTTTTCTTTTGTTGTAAATATATTTTGCATTTCTCGACAGTAGTTGTTTATATATTGAGGGTTTTATCTTTTTCATCAGGTTTTAAAATTATTGCAAATAATGAGCATAATTTAATACTGGTTAGAAACAAGCACTTCCCGATTTACAAATGGAATTTTCATGACAGAATGTTGCATGCTGAAGATCCTGTTTTTCTGCGACACGCAGTGAAAGAAAGAGAGAGAATCTATGTGTTACGTTTTGCCGCGTAATCGTTTCCCTTTTATTACTGTAATTTTGTGCGGGCTGATGAGATAATTCGCGAAACAAAACGCAAATGCTAAATCCATCCGTAAAATAAACTCAGGTATTAAGCAAATAACACGCGGCCTCTCTTTCTTCTTGTTTAAATTCTAACTTTAACTCCCTCATGTTTCAAAAAACAACAAACGTTTAGAAAATAAACTGATAAAAAGAATGATAGTTTAATTATATGAATTTTTTCATCGTTTTACGTTTTTTATTCTACTAAAATTACGTTAATTATGATACACACAGTTTTCTTGAAAGTATCAAATTGATACCAATAATAATTTAGATACATTTTTAAATTGGTCCTTATTTTTTGTGTCAATTCGTTGCAATTTGATACTTTTAAGTTAACAATGAATTTCTCATTTTTAGTGATTAATAATAATTAGTAATAATAATAGCAGGGCTCGAACCAGTGAAAGTATTTAAAAATACAGACTGTACGGATCAAAATTGAAAAATTACGGACCAATTACTGATGACTAAAATAACTCCGAGTCTTCGACTCGGAGTGATCCATTTCTTCATGTTTTATAATAATTCAAGATAATCTTCATCATTTCAATTCAATTATTATTTTCAGAAATTTATAACTAAAA